TGTTTGCAGGATTGCTATGAGTCGTACTTGACAACATCAGCAGTGATATCCAGACACTATACTGTTCTTCAGGTCTAAGGGTCATTGAGACTGAAGTTCACATGGCCTATTAGTTCTTTGGATTAATAGACTTTTATTTCTTCATTCATCTTTGCTCTTGAAGAGGACAGACCAATACACTGAATGGCCATTTGTAAACTTTAAGATTCAGAAACTACTAGCCAAGGTAGAATGTAGAAATTTGTCTTTGTACACGATGATATGCCTATTGGCTTTAATGTCCCCCCACCCCATCTGATAGTCCTGAGCCCATTAACTCATTCTCTGAAGGTATTTGGTTATGGTAGTCTAGTGGTAGGGAGTTGAATTGTCAACCCCAAAGCATGTGGTTCAAATTCATCTGTTGCTCTGCAGGAGAAAGACGGTCTATCTCCTTCCATGAAATTTACAACCTCTAAAATCTGCTATAGGGTAGATATAAGTTCATTCTGACTCTATAGCATGTATGAATGGCTCGAATAACACATAGATGTATTTGTGGTAATCTGACAAACCCATATGGTCATAGTTATAGTCTCCTCTGCCTACACATACCTGATCATCTTGTCTGTTGTCCTTTGTATACACTTAGAGATTAACATCTGTTATTGCTAATGCTAGATTTTTATTTTAAATTGATTTGCATATAAAATTAATATACATGTGTTTCATTCATATACATTGTGTTTCACACATTTCTTTATTCACAATGCATTTTCCATACATTGTGTTTTATAAAATGAATCACCATTGATCTGTGCCCACCATTACCCCATCTTTTCAGGTCTCCATTCGATCTTTTTAATTCCTTTACTCTTTCCCCCTGCCCACCTAACTCAGTGACCTCATGACTTTTTTTTAAAATAATTTTAATGAGCATTTATAGAGATTTTGAATTTCCATTCATTCCTTGCTGCACTTGTCTCCCCGCCCAGCCCTCCCCCCTACCCCAGTTTTCTCCTCTCTTTCAAAAGTAAAAGAAACACTCCCTCCCTGGGACACAATCCCCCCACACCCCTCCCGCCACCCTAAGTACATTCCACCATGCAACCTTAATTGTGAACTCTTGTGATAACCATAATACCCTATCATACATCGCTTTTTAATTATTCACTCCATGACTTTTAACATTTATGTGCAAGACATAGTTTGTGACTTTACATCTTTTTAACCATTTTAGTCCTGACAACAACAGAGAGAGAGACTTTTAAGGGCCTTGCTCAAGTGAAATTTAAAAAAAGATTAGTCTCTAAGTCAATGATTTTTAACTATTGTGCTGTGTTATCGTTCTTAGAAAATGAAGTCTCTCCAATGTTTCATGTAATCTTTTAATTGCTCATTGAAGGTGCCAGTGAAAATACAATCCTGTAATTCTCTCTCATGCTTTTAACCAGAAATCTGTCATAATCTTTTAAAAATAAAGAATAAGTCAAGTACTAACCAAAGGGTTTGGTGGTGTAATCTTCTTTCTAAGCTGTGGAATCAAATGTGTTACAAATTCTATGATCATTCATAGAATGTCAGAACTAGAAGGAACCTAAAAGGCCACAGTCTCACTCATCTAGGTTATAAAGAAGAGCAGAGAAGCTAAGTGGATAGAAAGCTGTCCTTAGGAAGAAAAGTAGACTATCCTAACAGACATGGTTAAATTATTGCCTCCTTAAAAAGCATAAGGGGATCATGAAGGTTAAGAGCCAGTCACTTGTGATGACAAAAGGTGTTCCTTAGGTAGTTGTTAGGGGTCCTTGAGTCAGTTCTAACTTATAGAGACTTCATGTACAGAACCAAATATCATTCAGTTCTGGATCATTCTCATAATTGTTGCTATTGGAGCTCATTGTTGTAGCCACTGTGTCAATCCATTTTGTTTTAGAGAGGCTGGGAATTTCATTTCTGTAAAACTAGCAATCTAATTAGTTTATTACATGACTAACCGCAAATCAGACACAATCTTGCTTGCTAAAAGTGAGGAGGGATTGAAGAGCGTACTGCAGTAGGTCAAGAATTGTAGTCTTCAACATGAATTGAACCTCAACATCAAGAACACAAAGATTCTCATCACTGAGCCAATTGGCAGCATCATGATGGATAGAGAAGAGATTAAGGTTGTTAACAGTTGCAGCTTGCTTGGCTCCACAATCAACACTCTTGGCACTAGCAGACAAATTGTATTGGGGAAGTCTGCTACCAGGGACCTTTGCAGAGTACTGTTAGGTAGTAATTGACAAAATCATTGCTCCTGTGTGCTGTATAGTATTCCATTGTGTGAAGATGCCATAATTTCTCAATCCATTCCATTGTGGTTGGTATTTGGACTGTTTCCATATTCTTGTGATGGTGAATAAAGCTGCTATGAACATTGGTATGCAAGTATCTGTGCCTCAGTTCTCATTTTCTGATGGTATATTCCAAGCAGTAGAACAGCTGTGTTCTACTTTGGAATTTCTGTGTTCAACTTTTTAAGAAAATGCCAAACTCTGCAGAGTGGAGTATACTCGGGGTGACGGTGGGAGGGTGGGGGTGGAGAGATTGTATACCAATGAAGGAATTTTTCTTTTGCTTTTAAAGAAGAGTGAACTGGGGGTGGGGGTGGGGTGGGTGGGGAGAAAAGTGCAACAATGAATGAATGGAAATCCACAATCTCTGTAAATGCTCATGGAAATTAATAATAATAATAAAGAAATGGGGGGAAAAGAAATGGGGATGAAGCTACAAGTTGAAATATATTGTATTTTAAAAAATCACTGGATAATAATAGGCAATTGCTGAATATTTTGTATTCATTGTTTTCTGTGAATATGTCGATAGCTTGATAAAATTAGAGGCGTTCTGATTGAATATGTCAATAGCTTGATAAAATTAGAGGCGTTCTGATTTTACGGATTAAAAATGTGGGATTTTCAACAATGAAAAAAAAATTAAAAAAAAAAAAACCACGCCAAACTGCCTTCCAGAGTGGTTGTATCATTTTACAATCCCACCAACAATGTGTGAGTTCCTATCTTGCCACATCCTCTCCTACATCTATTACTTGCTGTCCTGTTAAACTTTACCACTGCTACTGGAGTGAGATAGTATTTGGAGCATTTCTTTATGTGTCTTTTGACCATTCGAATGTCTTCCCCTGTGAAAAGTCTTTCCATGTCTTTTGGCCATTTTGTAATTGGATTATTAGTCTTTTTCTTCTGGAGGCCCTGTAGGAATCTGTAAACTTTCCTTATGAGACCCTTTCCTGAAATGGTATTGCCAAATGATTTTTCCCAGTCAGTAGGTTTTCTTCTCACCCTATTAGAAAAAGTTTGTTGTCTTGTTGTGGGTTTTTATGGTTTTTGGTGTTTTGTTTTTTTTTATGCTCACAGAGATTTAATCTTTAGAAGGTCCTATACATCAATTTTATCCTCTTCAGATTGTTCATTTCTGACTGTATTTGGCAGTCCCTTTATACCATAAAGTAGGCCTCCTAAGCATGGTCCCAGTTTGTCTCTCATGAGCTTTATTGTTTGGGGCTTTACTCCCAGGCCTCTGATCCACCTTGAGGTGATTTTTGTGTATTGTGTAAGATGTGGATCCTGTTTCAGCTTTCTGTAGTTGGCAGTCCAGTTTTGCCAGTATCATTTGTTAGAGGTTTTCATTTTCCCATATTATAGGTTTTATTTCCTTGTCAAGTACCAGTTGGCTATAGATAAATGGGTCCAGAATTGATGCCTTTTAGTTGTGGTTCTGGAGAAGAGTATTACATATACCATGAACCACCAAGAAAGCAAATAGGTTTGTCTTGAAGAAGGTGAAATCAGCTTTTTCCTTGGAGGCAATAGTTTAGCTGCTTTGTCTCATACTTTGAGCACATGGCCAGGAGGGACCAGCCCTTGGAGAAGGACATCATGCTCAGAAAGGTGGAAGGACAGTGCAGGAGAGGAAGACCTCAGATGAGATGGATTAACACAGTAACTAGAGTAATAGGAGTAGATGTGTCAGAATCAATGTGACTGGCTCTGGATGGGGCAGGGTTCAGAGCTGTTTTACATAGGGTCACTTTGAGTTGCAGACAACTGTATGGCACATAACAAATACAGCCAAAGAAGCACACACATTTCTGCAAATTGTGTCTGTTACAAGGTCCTTGTTGTCCCTATTGAAAAACACACGGACAATGTGCAAGGCATGAATTCTAGGTTTTCTCAGGGAGTAGTGGAAAGACCATTCCTACACCCTGCTTCCTTCCCCATATATATTTGTGTTGCTTGTACAAACTATACACTGCAATTCTACTTTCCATTAGGTCTAAGATGTCTAAAATGGTTTTATGAAACGTTAAATTCTGTACCACACGACAATAGTATTTTCTGATGGCAAAGAGGGTAAAAACTACTCAGGAAAGAAAATAAAACACAATGTCAAGGTGTAATCATTCTGAGAATATTTATTTATGCTTGTATTTGTGGGTGGAAATTTTTTTCATGCCACAAAGTTTTGTTAAGAACAAGTTGTTAGAAATTAATAAATAATGGCTACAATCATTACATACTACAATAAAGAGAGATCAAATGCCACTGTATTAGCATATGCAAGACTGAAGTTTTCTGTTATACAAAGTGTATAATGCTGTCTTTCTCTTTCTTTGTGGTGTTTCCCCCAGATACTCAATATCTACATTGTGCACTGCTTCATACTTCTGTAAATAGTTGAGGCACACAGCACACAAAAGGATTGCAAATATTTCCATTCAATACTGTTTTCCACCAAACTGGGTGGTTAGTTTCTGCCATGTGATCACTTACATAGTACAAATGAAATAGAAGCAAGGTACAAAAATTAATGCAGTCTTGTGAATATGGTGTGTACTCAACACTGGCAACACAGACTGCTATGAACTTGTAATGGACTGGTTGTCAAAATCACATGTAGTTATCATTTAAAACTTATTGAATAGCAGCTCATTGACATGTAAGTCATTGGGTTGCTCAAAGGTGAGACAAACAGAATTCCCTGATGCTGTTTCCATTTGGTTTTTCCAGTTCATATGGTTCTAGCTGGCGGTATTCAAATGTCACACGATTGATGTGTTTTCCACTGGAGACCATGCGTACCACAGTGTTGTCACAGCCAATTTTCATTTGAGCTAGAATTGATGGGAACAATTTTAGAATCCCTGAAGGTTAGAAATCACAGAGCCAAACCATTTCTGTTGATTTACATAAATTAAATATAATGAAAGCATATAAAGGGGCTTATTGTGTTTTTGTAATGGTACACAAACATGTTGGTTTCAAATCACCTCCAGCTCAGGGCAACTCCACATGTCAGAGTAAAACCTAGTGTTGCATAGGGTTTCCAGTAGGTGACTCCAGAACTAGATCATCAGGCCCTACTTCTGGGGTATTTCTGCTTGAACTCAGACCTCCAGCTTCGCAGTTACCAGTTGACTACATTAACTATTGATACCACCTAGGATCTCCCATATTTATTATAATGGATTATTACATCAAAATAGTGACATTAAATCCAGTCTTTCTCATGTCCAAGAAAATTTTGCCTAAATAAAAGTAGAATTCTCAGAGAGTAGGGCTACCCTATAAGGGTAGGTAGGTTACAATAACTAGATGCACAATTGGCATTTAGTGGGTAGAGTTTAGAGGATAGAATGTTGTGGGACACTTGTACAGACATGCATACACACATGTACACACTGTTGTTTTCTGGGCCCAGACAATAACTCTGTTATAGTTACACAAAACTCCCATCTGTTGCATAGTTTTTTTTTTATACTTTCTAATACAGCTTAATGTGAGGGTTTTTTTCCTGTCATCCTCCTGCCCTTTTTCTCTCTCATTTTTTCCTATACTTCTATACAGCCTAGTTTTTCATCTCCTTACTTCTCCAAAGGGAGCTCAGGGAGCAGAGTCCACAAGAAGTTCAGATGCTAACCCAAAGGACACACAGCTCTGGCAGCTTCAATCTACCAGCAGCTGCTGGGGAGAGATATGGACAATCTCCTTCCATGCGATTTACAGCCTTGGAAACCCAATGTTACGGTTGGAACTGACACAATGGCGGTTAGGTTTACTCTCCTAACTAGTCTGATGGGAGCTTTGGTGGCTTAGTAGTAAAGAGTTGCACTGCCCACCCAAAGGCATGTGGGTTGATTCCACCATCCACTCTAAGAGAGAAAGATGACCAATCTTTTCTTGCACAATTTTCTGCTCTGAAAACCCACAGTGGGGGTCAGCTGTGAGTCAATTTTGACTTGAGAGTATATAATGACCTAGTCTTATTAATAATCTGTATAAAACTCTGACAATTTTGAAAGAGCACGTCATGCAGATATGCCTCAGCAGTTATAGATTGAAATTAATTTTCTTTTTATTAAAAATTATTGTAAAAAAAAGAAAAAATTATTGTAATTCTATCTCTCCGGCCTCAAACTGATTCCAGAAGCAAGCGGTATTTGTTCTATAATATTCCTTTTTTGGCTTAAAATGTTCTCAGTCTCTTCCTACCCTAGCCATTACCAAAAATATTTTAGAAAGCCTATTATTTGAAAAACACTAGCCTTACTATGATATAGCAAGTACCTGAGAAACAAACTTGGCCAGATAGAGTTACTGAAATAAAGTCAAATTCAGGATATAATAACTATAAACCCTAGAATTACTATTATACTTCAAGCATCAGGGATTCCAGGTTAAACTTTTACCAGAAGGTTAAAATATATTTTTCATTAAATAATTTTGGAGGTCATTCTTTTTCTGATCTTACTCTGAACTTTAATCTATTTAACATGCCCTATTTCCTTTAGTTAATGTGCATATTATTTCTAAGTGTTTTTACTTACGTCTTCCTACTAAAATTCAATTTAAAGGGCATAGTTCCTAATAGTTCTTCACTGCCTGAACGATTTAGAAGGGGTTCATCAAAAACATGGTGAAGTTGAACATGAAGCAATGAGTCATATAATTCAAGCATTAAAATTGTTCTGGTTTCAATTACCTGGATAATTTAGGCCAAAGTGACATTTTTGGCCTTAGTCTCACAATTTTACCTAACTTGAGTAATACAATCCAAGCAGAAAAATTATTCTGGCTTCAATTATCTAAATTTTAAGGCATGAGTGGTCTTGAGTCGTAAACTTGTCTTTTAACACAGCAGAAATGCATCTTCTTACAGGCTCCCTCCAAGCATCGGCATGGAAGACATTCTGGACCTCAGTGCACACAAAAGGCTAGTGCACCCACGTATGTAGAATTTAAACCAAGTCTTATGTGTAAGTTAAAATAAAATAATTCCCTAGTTTCAGAAGGGAGGTGGTTTGAAACATACCTCTTTACCTTGATAAGAAAGTTTGCCTTGAACCCAAAACAATAAAAAAGAAAAAACCAAAACTATCCTCCAAACCAGTTGTCATTAACTTAATTCCAGCTCATGGATAGCCCAAGTGTGTCAGAGTAGAAATGGTTTACAACAGGTGTATGTTTAGATGTAGATTGCCAGACTTCTTCTTAGGTACCTCTGTCTGACATTGAATTAACAAACTTTTCATAAGCAAAGGAGGACTTAACTCATCTGAAACTTTGTATAGATACATGGAAGAGAGGAAGGGGGAGGACGTACCATTCCTAAGTGCTCATCAGTGTATGCTGTTATGTACTGTAGAACTAACCCATAGCTGACCCTCCCGTCAGTTTTTGAAAGCAGTACAGCACAGCAGTAGACTGCCCATACTTCTCCCAAGCAGCAGCTGATGGATTTGAACAGGGTACATCGGTTTTGCCAGCCTATTTCTTTACCACTAAGCCACCAGAGCTCCCTCCTAGTTATTTTACTATTACTGTGTTATCAGTGTGTAGTAATCCTATTTCAGAGTTCTCACAGCATTAGCTCAAAGAGACTAAATACCAGTAGGAAAAATATTGGTTTTAGTTAAAACAATGAACAGCTCAACTAAACGACATCTTTCTGATTTGTAGCTTGATTATCTAGCTCATTACTGATCTGTGAAGACAAGAAAGGATGAAAGTTATAGTAAAAATTAATGAGATTAGAGATCGTTGTTCTTCCTCTTTTGTTTCACTTTTGTCTCCTTAAAAAAATAATTTTATTTCCTGCATCTGAAGACACGAAAATGGAACTTTGTAGAAATGTTTTATGTAATCTTCACCCCTCTGACTTGGACTTTATAATTAGTTTGTTAAATAGCCAATAATTCCCACCCATCTTCATCCCACCTACACAGAATCCAATTTCTGTATTCTCTAGTCCTTGACTGGTTCATTCCCCTCCCGGGAATTTGCATGTTCACCCCAGATATACTGAATCAGGATTTACATTTTATCAAGACCCCTCTAGAGGATTCTTATAGATCCTATTTATACAAGAATCACCTGGTGAGATGGGTGGGAAGAGTGGGAGAGAGAAGGAAAAAATAGGTTGGATGAAGTGGAAGGCAATATACAATGAGAGGCTGATCAGATACCTAACAATACCACCACTGTGGTTAATGTTATACACATGTATATGAATGAGCTAATGAAATTATAATTACAGTGTTACAAAATAAAATATGTATGAAGGAGTGATTGAAAAAACAGTATGACTTGTATACTTTCACTCAAATTAAAAATAAAATTTTAAAAAAGTTTTTCAAAACAGCATTATCTGAGGGTCTTATTAAAATACAGTGGTAAGACACTGAGCTGCCATCCCGAAAGCTCACAGTTCGAATCTGCCAGGATCTGCGGGGGAGAAGAATGGGTAACATCCCCCTGTGTGATTAACAGCCTCTGAAAACCCATTGGAGGGTCAGCTATGGATCGGTTGTGCACACAACAACAATTCAGTATATCTTGGGTGGGAATGTAAATTCTTAGCAGAGGGTCAACTCTGAGTGCACTAAACCAGTCCTTTATTACTAGTGAACACTTTTAGACTGTAGAGTTCATCTCTAAGCTGTAGTGGCCTTCAAGAGGCTAATTAAGCTTCTAGAAACTATAAGGGGAAATTTCTAAAAAAATTGACTTCTTTGTTTTATGTTACTTATTAAAAATCTATTTAGATATTACTTCATTATTATACTACTGCTAATTGATCTAGCTACCTATTTATTGCAGTTGTCAGACAAAACTTGGAGACTTAGAGAATAAAAACAGGGACCTCCAAAAAGTCGAGAAAGGCACAGCACAGGAAAGCTTGCCCTTCTCATGGTTTCACTATGGGTCAACCTTGAATGTACATCTTTATCACTCACAGATTCCTTTCCCAGTGTCAGTGATTTCTGCAGTGGATGCTGTTACGTACAACATAGGTTTATAGGCAAAGCTCTCACATTGGTTCAGTGCACAGGTTGAGTTTGTTAGTGAACCCCACTTTTTCAATTAATAGCAAAACTAGGATGTTTCATTTGAGGAAATCGTTTTGACAGGTACACAAATAATAACCAAAGAAACTTCTCACCAGGACCATGAAAGGAATAGCAGAGATCCGCTAAGGGCATCATCTTGGAAGGGTCCAATCCATTTCCTCCCAGCAGCTCCACAAAGTCTCCTACGCCCCCACAACCTGCTGAGGGTTTCTGAAAGAATAGAGCAGGAGGGAAAGATAGTTTAAACCAATTTTGAAAGTCAAATCACCCAGCCACAGCAAGCTCTGTGAATGCACTCAGTCATCCCAAGACAGCCTGCTGGCACCCTTTCCTTTATTATCCAGGACTCCGGAAATTAAAAGGTATTTAAAAGGGAGGGGGGAAAGTCATATAAATCCTTTCCTAAATCAGTTGAGTAATCATTTTTTTTAAATGTGTGCATGTTCTCTTTTTTAAAATGTGAGAACTGGAATTATGAATGGGAATCTGTAAATTCCACATAATATACAAAAATAAAAATAGAAAATGCTTGGCTGAACAAATCATTTGAACATACATGAATTCCTCCATGCATAGCGTCAGGGTTAAAGAAAGTCAAATATCTGCATTTTTTTAAAATAAGATTTATGTCCGTTTTCTCTTCCATTTACTTCTTTTCCTCTTCTTTACAAAGGATAGTTTATGCTACTAACCCAACTGAAATCTACTGCCGTCAAGCCCGTTCTGGATCAAGGCCACCCTTTCTAAGGTTTCTGAGGCTGTAAATTTTAATGTATGGAGATTGTCTCTTCTTTCTCCAATGGTCTAGCTGGTAGGTTTGAACTTCTGACATTTTGACCAGTTGCACAGCAGTTAACCTACTACACCACCAGGGTTCCTTTATTATTATTGTTGTTACGTGACGTCGAGTCAGAACCAATTCTAACCTGAACTTCTGTCAGGTTTTCAGAGCCTTAAATCGTGTGGAAGGAGAACACTCCTCTTTCTGTATCAGATAAAGATACATTCAGAGAAAGATACCTCGGAGAAAGATACCTTCTTAACTTCTGTGTCCTTCTTGCCTTCCTCAGATCTCATTTTAAAACGCCTCCTTCTCAGAGACATCCTTATTTCAAATTCTTCCCTACATCTCCCACTCTTGTTTTGCCCTCAATCACTGGCAGCCATCTAGAAAGACAGGGTAATAGGGAATGATTATATCTACAGTGGTAGATTTGAACTGTGTACTTCTGCAGGAGAAGGATGGGCAATCTCTTCCTTTGCAATTTTACTGCCTC